ACAGGGATGACGAACCTGCACGAAAAAACTTTGATCAAGCTCAGCAATGTAAAGATCAAAATCTTCCACCCTCAAATTACGGTGCCTGTTGGGTACATAATTGGATTACTGATATTGATCCAAAATTGGTTCCCGGCGATTATGATGTATGGGTGCATGTGTACTATTGTCCGGCTGACTGTAGTAACCATGATTGCAGCATGTATCTGGGTGGTTTGTATGATTGCGAAAAGAGATACCACGTGTTTATTGAAGATTATAAATAAGTTTTAGATTATTATTAATCATTTTTATTTTTAAATTTAAGTTTCAATAAAGTTTTTGAATAAAATTAAATAATTAGAAATGTATTTTCAAAAAAATTTTTTAATTATTTACGATTCGATTGTAGCACAAAACAATTGTGCGATGCATTTTTACATTTTTAATGAAAAGTATAATTGCATGTTGAACATTTTTTCGATGACTTATAAACTACACACAATATACAAACACATAAATTTAAAATTATTCAATATGAAATTCTTTATTATTTTTCAAGTAAAATTAAGAGAAAAGAGGCCGGCTGGCTAGATAGATCAAGTTTATAAGACATGAAAGGTTATTCCCGTCAATTCCTAATCCATAAATGGCGGTTTTATCTATCTATTTCGTCTTACTACCTAAAGCTGACATTTTCTTTACCATTTACCCATTTTCCAATTTGTCTAATGTGTTGGTGTACGAATTCGAATTCTTATTAACTCATACATACTTATTAATATGAACTTCACAGATTTTCGATTGCTAATCTGTTAACCATTTAAAAAGAATCATCCTATAAAGATTTGCTTAAAATGGGTACATAATAGTTAAAATAATGTCGAGCCTATGGTAAGAAATAGATTTGTCAAAATTATTAGGAGCAAGTGGGTAATGCATTATCTTATATTCCTCACCAGAATAACTTTCTCACTTTTCTGTGATCAAATTCGACTTGCTCAGCTTTATTATAACTGCATATTCAGTTTCATTATTTTCAGCAGCTTTTTGTAAAGTTCTTTTCACACATTTTTTTATCCGAGCCTAATAAACGTAACGCTATGTCAGAAATTTGTTACACCCATCCTTTTATCACTGCTGCTGGAAATGAGTCGCACACATTAGTGAAAGAAATTCGAGAACAAAGTCGGAGAATTTTGAAAGGCCATTTAGTGAGAGATCTTTCCATCGTAATTTGATGATTTTTCAAAAATCAAGTTGTTCTTGCAAGCAAGCTAATACGTATACGTTAGGTAAATTTATGGTTAAATTTTGTGATAAACTTTTTGTAGATCGGTGTGTCTCAAATTTCTAAGATAATCATTCTATACAAGGGAACGGTTTCGGAAACCATTGTTAAGTCCGGAGCACAAGTGTAACGAAAGGGACCAACCATGTATCGACTCAAATTTTGAGGGCAGACAAACAGACACCGGACTAACTATCTAAAAATATTTTTTTACCTTTAGTAGTAAATTTATGAATCTCTTATTTCTTTCCTGTATCTATCTATCAATTCATTAAAAGTATTATTTGTAGTACGATTTAGAGAAATTGTAATTAAATTTCCAAGTAGGAATATGTGTATTACTTTCCTGAAACTTATCAAATCGTACAGTAATGACCTTTTTATATTAAACATAATTGGCTTTATTTAAAGAGAACAATTTTTCATAAACGCCCAATATATTGGTTACAAATCACCTTTGACATAAAAATTATTCTAATAAAATCCAACAAAATGAAGCAGAATACTTTTAAATAAAATCTTGTGAACAATTATTCCCAGCTATTAAAATCGGGTTCTGAGATTTATTTTGAGTGGATGATCAAAAAAAAAATATCCGAGATATTGTTACACCAATTTCGTAACACTTGAGATTTTGCTATAAAATTCATCATCCAAGACTAATTTTATAATATGAACTGTAAAAAGAAATTATTTTGTTTTAAATCGATCATTTCTAAGATCCAATTTACACAAATAATTATCGGAACGCAAAATCTCATTTTTGTTTGGAGAATTCTCGGAATCCCTTTTAATAGCAAAGCTCACGGTATAAATGTCGCCCTGACCCCTAGTTAATTTACCGATTTACCGAGTCTAAAAAAAATCCAATTAATATACAATAAAAATATATAATAAATCGATACATAAATAATATTTACCATATAGTTGCATAACTTCCAAGTAAATACAGGAAGCAGTAAGTTCATTTCTGATTATGAAACGATTATTACTAATTTTGTATTTTCGAACCATGATTATCCAATTATTTTTCAAACCCCTGTATATCGAATTTTATCCATAAGTAACACTAGTTAAATTAGTTAACCCACCTAAAAAAAAAATTTATCTAAGATGCCTGAAGCGATTAATCCCAAAGAGAAAAAAAAAAATAATCGAATGAATTTGTAATCAAAAAAATACTTGAACAGCGATCTCAACCTGTAATTGTCAAAAAAAAATACTTAGATGAAGATAAAAAAAAACTTTTATGATCAATACCTGCTAAATAAAAGAAATAATTTTGATCATATAAGCAAAATAACTTTATAAATAGAACCTTAAAGCATATGCAAATACTATGATATAAGAACGTCGGCCAAAAGTTGTTAAAAAAAACAGCGAATTATCTGGTAATAAAAAAAAAATTCAATCTACTCTTTATATTCTCGAACTGGTGTAAAGCAATTTGTTAGTAAAAAGTTAAAATTTTTTATACATTTAAAATATAACTATAAATTTCACGTCTGTGGTTTCACCAAATATTTAAAGTCGGCCTATGGACAGCGTTTTAAATAGTAATGTGAAATTGAAACTTTAAATATTTATGTAAACTAACACCTTTTAGATGTCAACTGAAATTGATAAAATGTTTACGTTTATTTTATAGTAGAATTGTTACAAAGTTGCTCGATTTCTCAATTTCTCGTTATATTTTGACAAATAAGCCATTAAAACGATGTAAAATAATATTAATGAGAAATAAAATGAAAAAAAAAAAGGAATAAATCGCAAATTGTCAGGAAATAATATTATATGATTTAATACCTACTTCATGAGTGGCATTATGTTTTAAAGCAAAGTTGTGCGCTAATTCGTGACAAACTGTTACGAACCAATAGGACATGACGTTACTTATACACTCATTTTCATGCAATTCGAGGTACGTTTAAAAATTGAAATACAATTTTTTGTCCCTATTAAAAGCGACTTTACTTGAATCGTTATCATCTTGAGTTGAAAAACCTCCGCAAGACATTTTAGGATCTCTACAAAACGAGTCAACGGAACATTATCATTCGTTTGTAATAAGTTTGTCGACTGTGTATTATAAACTTTAATCTCTTCTAAAGTTCCAGATTCGTGTAACAAATAATCTAAAATAATAGAATACATCAATATTTAAAAAAAATTACGATGATTACGAGAAAATAATGCATATATGGATTATACCAGGTATAACTACGCAGTTGCCCTTAATAATTTCACCTCTCGAATTAGATTGACAAGCATTAATGTAATTTCTTAAATCATTTCGTAGATTTTCAGGTGTTGAGAGTGGGATTGATAATAACTTTTATTGCGTAATCAAACATATCCTCCAAGTCATGTGGTTCGCTGTATCCGACAACCCGTCGTAAATCGGGTAAGTCAATCATACAATCGATTGGATATATTTTTGATAAAATTGAAAGAGATGAACCTAAAGTGATGAGATGTAAAACATTATCCGGTTTGTTTGTACTATAGATATGTCTTGCTAATTGTTGCGAAATATCAAGATCAGTGTATAAACTAGACTTTAGCATATACTGGTTAATTATCTTTTATAAAAAAAAAAAAATCTGGATTTTTTTAAAAAAAAAACCTTAAAGTTATCCTGCATATTTTTAAAATTTTCGGATTTACTGTATTTGTTAAAATATATATAATAAAATTATAAATTTTTGAATTTTTTTTAAAAAAATATATGAATTAGTTTTCGGTTATATAGATCAATGTATAAATAAAAAAATAATTATTATAAAAAGATTTGATAAAATGTAAACAACGAAACTTTATGACAAGCAAAAAAAAAATGTTACATTTTTTGTTACGCAAAATTGATATGGCCTGAAAAAAAAAATTACAGCCAATAAAATCCGGACAAATTTAAATTTTCCGGTTCCGGGTAAATGTCCGGTTCTATAACAAAATTCCGGATTTTGAATGTCAGGTAAGTAACCCAGACTCGTAAGGTATACCCTGGATTAGAAATTCTATAATTCTATAGTAAAATCCAATCTAATTGAATCCATTGGATCAATTCAAATCAAATTTTAAATTTGTGAATATGGATCAGATGTCGATTCAATCCAACCTATTAGAAATGATTAACAAATTTGACGAAGTGGACAAATTAGACTGATATTACTAAATGGTCATATTTGATCTATTAGATATATTAAAAAAAATTAGTTTTAGTCATTATGTTTGTTAGTTATATCTTATTTAGTAGAGTTATTATATTTATCTTATTTATTTATTTATCATTTATATTATATTTGTTATATTTTATTTTATAGTATTTTATTTTGTATAAATATCTTGCATTTTCCTTTGAGTTGAAAAGTAACTTGAGATAGGATTTTAGGATAAACCAAGTATTTAATAAGAAATCTTATAAATTCATTTACTATTACTTTTTGTCATTTCTTTATATAGACGTAATTATGATTAAAGCTCCAAATGGTTTAGATTAATCCAAAAATTTTCAGTTCAGATTAACTTCAGTTCAGTTTCAGATTGCAAAAAATTCAATCTGAAAATTTTCAGTTCAGTTCAGATTTTTTTCAGATTATAAATCTAATCTGAATTGAAAAAATCTGAACTGAACTGAAAATTTCAGATTAATTTGAAATTTCAGATCATTTGGAATGATTAAATTTATCGTTCTAAATAAACAATCCTTTTATCATTCGTTTGAAATGATAATTTAATCATTTCAATTGAATGATTCTTTTATCATTCATTTAGAATAATAATTTCATTGTTCCAATTAAATGATTCTTTTATCGTTCATTTAGAATGATAATTTCATTATTCTAATTGAATGATTTTTTATCGTTCTTTTAGAATGATAATTTAATCGTTTTAATTGAACTATTTTTTATCATTCTTTTAGAATGATAATTTAATCATTCCAATCAAATGATTCTTTTATCATTCTTTTGAAATGATAATTTAATCGTTCTAATCAAACGATCCTTTTATCGTTCATTTGGAATGATAATTTAATCGTTCTAATCAAACGATTTTCTTATCATTAGTTTGAAATGATAACTACAATTGTTCTAAATGAATGATTTTCTTATCGTTCATTTGGAATGATAAATTTAATCATTCTAAATTAAAAATTAAAAATTATTATTAACAATAAAAAATATTACTGCGGAAAGCTGCAGAATGTAAAATTGTCAAATGAATGTTTGACTATTTTCTTCAAGTAGAATATTCGTACTAATTATTTTCTCTTTGAATTTGCAATTAATTTTAGCTAGCTTTGTCACCTATTTAGATTTATCAAATTTTGCCATATAATTTTGTTACTTGGCTTTGATAACTCTGCCACATGGCATTGTAAATCAATTTTGCAACCTAGTTTTGCTGGCTTTATCACTTAGCTTTTTACTATTTGATCCTATCAAATTTTGCCATATAAATTTGCTAATTGGCTTTGATGACTTTGCTAATTAGCTTATATTTATTAAAAATATGCTTTCACTTGGTCTTTTACTATTTAACTTTATTACATTTAGCCATTTGGCTTATAACTTAATTAATTAATTAGCTTTATTAGCTTTTGCCACTTGCTTTATTACTTCAGTAGTAGGAAAATGGGGTTTTTAGCACAAAAATCCCGAATGACTTCAGAAAGTCATCCTAGGTATTACAAATTTCATATATCGAATTTTACATATCAATTTTTCTACTTTGGCACGTTCCTGTCTGAAACCTTTTTGGAATTCATCTTGGGTAACAAAATTTTTCACATATATGAACGCTAAACATAAAAGCAAATAGTGTTCGTAGACTGCGAAGCGAAGCGGAGCATGTACACAAGATATGAAAGCAAATAGTGTTCACACTCTGCGAAGCGAAGTGGAGCATGTATACAAGATATGAAAGCAAATAGTATCCACACTCTGCGAAGCAAAATGAAACATGTACACAAGATATGAAAGCAAATAGTGTTCACACTCTGCGAAGCGAAGCGGAGCATGTACACAAGATATGAAAG